AATTTGACCACACAATTTTAATGTCATAGCAGGTCTTTTTAATTATGATTTGTGCATACAAAGTGACAGGTCTTAAATATTTTAACTATACACCTGAATATATAAATCAATTTACAGATAATAGTTTAATAGGTGTTCGTCATCATAGAAAGTTCAGCTACAATTTGTTTCTATTTAATTTTAAGAAATCACTTTACAATTCACTGTTTCTATTTGTTAAACAACCTTTTCTGGTAATCTCAGAAATTAATTAGATAATTGAAACATTAAAAATAAGATGTAGTTTATATGGTATAGTGAGACAAGATGTTAGAGTCTGACTACAGGATTACTTTCATATTATTTAAAAGAAAAAAGAAAGATATCAAAGAAACCCTTATCCAAATGTAGTTAAAAGTCACTTTTTGAGGAGATCTATATAGATTGGAATAACATCATATTCAAAGTCGGATCAAGTTCATTTTATTTGACAATCCCAGAGATTTTTTTCACCTTATCACAATCATTAATTATGATCAATTTTTTCGCATTTGTACTACAAATTGTAGACCCCTGTAATTTGAGCAAAATTCATATGATCTTTAACAGTTTTGAATTAAGAAAATATAAGGAATGGAAGAATATTTTAAAAATAAAAAAAACTGTTTCAACTTCAACCATTAGACATTAGCACCGTTGGATTCCTGCTCAGTGGTCTATTGGTTAATTGTTCGCGTGCGAGACTGGCAGGTCCTGGGTTCAAATCTTGCAAGGCGGGATCGTAGATGTGCACTACTGAGAAGTCCCATAATACGACGAAATCACCGTCCAGTGCTTTCAGGTTTTCCATGATGGTCTAGCTTCAATTAACTCATGATTTCAACTATATATAAAAACTGTTTATTAAGTTTTCTATTAAAAGTTTTTCTTCCACGCTTTTAAAATTTAGCTAAGTAAAGGTTAATACGTATAGTTAAAAGAAAAGAATGTACCGCCTAAGGGTCTTTTCCGTCGATTATTGGCAAAATTCCTACGTGAAAAAAACAAATGTGAAAACTTTGGGAAAAAGGATTTTGGTGAAGAAAAGAATTTTTCACACTAACTACTAGAATAAAAATTGTATACAATATGAATTTTCAGAGTTATTTAAAATATTAATTTATTGATGGTTAACTGTTCTATAGTAAATTAAAGAAATAGATTATTTAAAGGGAAAATTGCCTTCGTAATTGTTCATAATTATAAGGTTGTGAATATTTTTGAATTTTGGTTAAGATCATAAACCGGTCAATGTTAGACCATCACTGAAAAACTGGAAGAATTAGACAGCCATTTCGTTCTAGTATGGGACTCCTCAGCAGTAGAATTTATCTAAGATTTGTAGCATGTCCTTAGTATGTATCTGATGTTTGTCGGTCATTAAATGATTCATTAAAAATTGTCTGTCTATACCAACAAAAGATGTGAAATTCAGATCGGAAATTCTCATTTCATGAAATTTTTATCTTTGTGGTTAATATCAAGAGTGACAACTTGATGAACAGGGAATCAAGATAGTTGAGTAATAAAATACTAATCGTAAGAATGAGTAGAACGCATAGAATATTAGAAACCTACAAGGATATCGTTGCATACCGTGTGCTATTTATGTCGACTGATATAAGCATTATGTAACACCAGTCTCAAATGAAATGCCTGGTAACAGTAAATTGAGAAGATCGAATTGAGGGGAACAGTAATGTAAACAGAATAACAGCAAGAATAAAGTAACGATGAAGTTTGAAAGAGACGATTATTGAAAGATGTACAAATAAAGTATTTTATGTATTGTTTTCATATTTTAAGGAAACACTGTAATTTTGCATTCAATAATAAATTGCTTTTCCTCACCTGAATTCTCATTCACTACTATATGTCTATTTTATTAGTGATAAATAATTCAATATCAGTATTTTTCATAGTTGAAATCATGATTCAATTGAAGCTAGACCACCATGGAAAACCTGGAAGCACTGGATGGCCCTTTCGTTCTACTGTGGGACCCCTCGGCAGTGCGCATCCACGATCCCGCCTAACGAGATTTGAACTCAGGACTACTATCAAAGACCAGAAGTGACTGAAAATTAATTTGAATGTGAATTTTTCGGAGATGTACATTCAGTAATTCATCAATCTAATGAAAACCGAAAGTCTGAAATCATATATATATAATACTGACAAAGGTAGTTGTTAACACTAAACTATGTATAACTAATTTATCTTAGATATTCATACATTCTTATATCCATTAAGTCATTAATATAAGCTTCACATCTTCCAACAGTTTACCGACTAACAATTCTATCATATGAATAATAATAATGCTTATCATATGTGGGTTTCTACATCTTCAAGAGATTTTTTTCTATTCACAATATTGCATAACTTTGATTTGAAACAAAAATAGTTTGAGCACACTTTATATTAAATTTTACTTAATTCATTACTTAGTTTAGATCGAAATTAATAAGAAGCATTTTCTAATCGTAGATGGAAGAAAGCAAATTTGAGACGTGGTTTCCTGATGAAATTAATGATAGGCAAAAAGAAAAATAAAATTCACTTAGTATTACTTGTTTGAATCTTCCCATTGATGTTTAGGACTGCAATTGATCAGTCTCTTATTGACATATGTGCATACTGTGTGTATTGCCTCGATAGAGACTTAATTCACAAGCATTATAAGCAAAGATGAATAGTGGCTAGCAGCGGAATCCAGGAAGCGCGTTTCGTCCAACTTGGGACTCGTCAGTTGGATGTACCTGAGTGAATTTAAACGTCACCCCACTGCACAAGCAAGTGTCTATTCGGACTCAGTAGCTGAGTGAATAACGCGATGGCGTTTGAAGCGAAAGGTACTGGGTTAGAGTCCCAGAATGAACATCAACTCTGAGATGCAGGTACGTCCAACTGATGAGTCTCAAATAGGACGGAACGTGCGTCCCGGATTCCACTGCTAGCCACTATCTATCTTTGCTTAAAAAGGAAGAAAGTTTTTTGGTATTCATTTTGAAGAATATAATAAAAATGATGTGAACGAAACACGTTATTGTCGCTTATTTATTCTGATTCGTCCCCTTTAACTAATATACATACGATTTTTTTACTGTACGCTGCATCACTGATTATAGTTACTAAGAAAAATGAACTCCTTGTTTCCGTTCTTAACCATGTTATACTGAATACTTTGATATTTAATATTATAAACTAAATCGAATTGTTTGTCATTAAGATATATATTCAGAACTTGAATGATTCCATAAAGGGACAAACCAAATATACACACAGAAATTCCATTGTAACTGATGTTTCATTTAAGTCATAATTGATTTTTTAGGTTATGCGAAGACAATTACAGATATTGTCTAAAGCCTTATTGATGAAAAAAATGTGCTCCTAAAATACGTTTTTACTCACAATCGGAAAGTCCTTTTACTTTCTATTAGATGTCTTGAAGCTCTTAAAATAGTCATGTTTAAAAAAGTTTATAATTAATTCATTAGCACATTTGAATACCAATCCGGAGTAGCTGAAACGGCGAGACTATAATTTATGAACGATCTTTGAACTAATCTTGAGTGACCTTGAGAAATGTTAGCTAATCAGTGAACAGTCAGTATAGAGTAAAAATATATTATACAAAACCAAATAATTAATATGGAAACACTTCTTTTATATGGTCCAGAAACTTATCAAGGTTAGAAAAAGGTTCAAAGGTTCCGAAATCGTAATGCATAAAGTAGAGGAACTCATCCATATGGCTCCATAATAGTTGATCTCTGGAGCCATGATAAGTTCACAAAAACCCTCTCAGCCTCGACCACATAGCTTCATTATTGTTTGTGTACTCCATTTGCCTAAGTTTATCATTTTTATTATGGATATGTCCCTACAATACTCATACCACTGAACAGCCAAGACTTCAGTAACATCTGCGAATATTGCAGACAATGTTATTGGTGCTTTCATTATACTGTTGGCTGCAATTATTATAATATGCCTTAGTCTCAATCTGGATCGAGTGATATAATTTCTTATTCTAGGAAACGTCTTTCTTCAACATATATTACATCGAAGGACAACATCACGGTAGTCTGCACAAGGTCTACAAGTCATTTAATACTCGTAATTACAAATACAGGAACTTCTTAGTTGTTTCATTTGTTGTAGCCACTTAATTGTCAAATTTTCTCTAAAATTTTCTGTGAACCGATCATACATAAGCATCGGGTACTGAAATTGGAGCTGTGACCTTGGAATCCCTCAAACGCTTCTGATTGGCTCGTCCATAAATTATAGTCTCGCCGCTGAAAATATCGATATTACACATATATAACCAAATTTCCAACCTTACAAATCATCTCTGATAACTAATATCATAATTTTAAATGTTTATTTCCTACTGTTTTAACTTTACCATCCATATCTACTTGAATAACTATTCTTTCACTTATGATTGGTCAATTCTAACTGACCAATAATCATGCTTACTAGAGCAATATTCATTGGATGAAATCAAGGCCCCATAGTAATCACAGTTAATTTCATTACTATTAAATAATATACACAGATGATTTATTGAGTTTTAAAATTCTTTATTATTTTAACATTGATAGTGTTCAATTCCTCATTCTCCCTTATGTACAAGATAATCATATTTATTATGCCAAATAATAGAAATCTCATTCAAAAGCTCTTTTTAATGATTTCATACTCATTAGATAAGACAAAGTGAACTACCGGGAAACAAAAAAAGAAATCAGTAACAGATATTTATTGATTATTTAAAGATAAATGAAGGGGAAATTACTGAACACTTTTACAACTATAAAATATTATGTAGTGAACTACCAAAATTTATTTACCTTATAGAAAATACCTATAAAATACAATGTAATAATAACTTGACATTTCAAACAATATAGATAAACTTGATAAGAAACCTCCCTCTTCACCCCCCCCCCTTAGAAACTAACAATATAATGGATATTACTCAAGTTAATTTAATACATTATGAAAATTATAAAAACTGGATATTATTGCGTAATTCAACATTAATCTTATTCATTCTTTGTACTAGTATTTTTATATCCATTGATATTTATATAATGTCTAATGATAATTATAATTTAGATTGGAATAATGAATCTTCAATAATCAATAAAAAAACAATTAAAAATATAATTGAAAAAGAGAAAAATAAAGAGAAAAGTAGTATGGTTGGTATCATGAATGATCAATCGATACATTGGAATATTCACAATCATATAATGAATGAAACTTTAATAAGATCTCATTATTCAAATTCATATAGATTAAAAAACTATATGAATAGTATAACAAAAACATGTTTAAATATGGAATCTATTAATTGGAATATGATATTATGGAGAGATAAAGGAGAATTTTATAATGAACGTAAGTTTTCTCTTTATTGAGTAAAAAAAGGGGTATAAATTTCAATGTTCTATTGATAAGGATGATGTTTAACTTGAGTGACTATTTTTGATAGTGTTTATGTGCTATATGATCAAATTATAAATGTTTCACTACTGTTCTGTACAGTATTCTCAACAGCTACTTCAAGGATAAAGTGGGCTCTTTAAAATTAATCATAAATTATTAGTGATACTTTTTAAAATCCAGTATGTTCACAAAGTAGGAGTAAGGTAAATTGTCTATAACGAACGGAAGTTCTGGGATGAAATTATTCTGTACAGAGAATATGTAGTGGCTGACCTTATATCGAGCCCACACAGGTTATTTTAGTTATTGAACAAATTAATCTATTCATTCTTCTTGAGTCACATTATGACCTTGTTAATTATTTGATTTGCCTTGATTTTATTTGATTATAAATATTGGGGAATGCTTAATTTAAGTGAGTTGGTTCACATGCCTTCTCTATCATAAGTCATTTTGCTTTGCTTTTTTCTCTTTCATCTCTTCGTTTCGTTTCTCTGATCGCCTGTCTGAATCAACGATTGTATGAAATACACGTTTTCGAAATTTATTCTTATATTTGACTTATTTAATTCCATTATTCACCAATGTTGTTTAAGTTGATGATTTTATACGAGGATAGCCGACATGTATATTTCGATAATGATCAACACACAATCAAATTGGAGTCAAATATTCTAGAGACACTAGGAACACAAAGTCATTTAAAACCGCTTATAAGATATTTATAGAAAAAATCAATGATATGGGTTCCTCGTGAATTACATAACAGCAAACACTCGTGAATATATTACACAAACATTCTAATAATTTAATGAATCTACGTAAGTTATACTATATTTAAATAAGCACTTCATCGTGAGTAATATATTACATGAAATGTAAGGTCAGTTTTGATGAATTAAATTTATTAATTATCGATCAGTGGTACTGGAGTGAACAAGAACACGAGTAGAGACAATCAAATGTATTTGAGCACAAACGTATAGAATATCTCATTAAAATCTGACAATCATATAGTAAACAGTTAATTTACAAACTATCAATCAATTGTCTCAATGTTCGCTGTTCCTTCTGCAAATATCAAGAATCTTGGTTAACTGACTTACAGGATGATTGCTTAGTGTCATTACGTGATTTTAATATCTATCGTCAGGATCGATCAAACAATAAAAAGACTTGTGGTGGCGGAGTAGCTACTTTTGTAAACGTTAACTGGTGTCGATCTACTTTTGCCTGTTTCAAGTTTTCAAACGACTTTATTGACTGTCTAACTTTAAGGTGCCGTCCAAAACACCTGAATAAATACAAATATATTTATGTTACCAATATCTACATGACTCCAGACTGCACATCATCTGCGCTATCTGTCTTCACTGATAAATTTACTGAATTCGCCGTTACTGCCTTCAGTGATTCACTTTCAATTGTATGTGGTGATTTCAATTCATGTGACTGTAGCTTCCTTACATCACTAGGTCACCTAAATGTAGTAGATTTTCCTACTCGTTTGAATGCTCATCTAGACTTGGTTTTCATTAATGATGTGGGTGCCTATGTGACTCGCAAACGTGCTCCATTGTCTAGTTCGGATCACTGTATAATTCGTGTCCTGCCTAAAGTATATGGTAAACATGGAAAGAGTACACACATACTCCATACCAAAAAAGTAATATATAGGAGTTACTCAGAAGAAAATTTACAAAATCTGAAAAACATGTTTCGTACGACCAACTGGGAAGTACTTACAGATGACTCAATAGAAAACACAACGGATGTCATCACCTCTTATCTTAAATTCTGTTTTGATATTTGCTGTCCTACCGAAACCTTCTTTTTAAGTTTTGATCGACTTACATCTCCACAACTAAAACGACTACGGAGGGTAAAAGAAAGGATGTACAAGGAGAAAAACACTATTGAAGTTCGTAAGTTAAATGATCAAATAAACCAAGAGATTAGACGTCTCAACTGTGTGTTCACTCAAAAACTCCTATCTTGTAGAAGCTCTCCAAGTATGTGGAAACTCTTTAAAGAAATTACAGGGGACAGGCAGACTAGAAGCGAAAACCAGCTAAATGTTTGTGACTTAAATAAGTCCTTTATTCATCAGTCATCTGACATCATGCTCCCTATATCCAAGGGTTTGAAGAATAGTTGTGTCCCCAGTTTTACTGAAAATGATGTCCGGAAATGTCTCCAGTCTCTGAATTCATCTCAATGTTTAGGACCTGATGGTATCCCAAACCTCCTTTTTAAAAAATGTGCTGATGTTTTATGTTATCCATTAACAAATATCTTTAACAGATCCTTCTCAACTAATGTCTTACCGAAAATGTGGAGAAAGATAAAGATAATCCCTATACCTAAGAAAGCTTCTGGTGATAAAAATGCGAAACTTAGACCCATTGCAATAACCTCACCTTTCCTCAAAATAATGGAAAAATTACTGATACAACCACTTCAACCTTCAATAAAAGAGTACTGTGATCCATTTCAGTTTGCTTACAAATGCAAAAGAAGCACATTAGATGCCGTTGCTGTTCTGCATCACAATATAGTGTTCGGGTTGGAAAAGGGTAAGAAGTATGTTAGATGCGCTTTTCTGGACTTTACTTCTGCTTTTGATTCTATTCCAAGACACCTCTTACTTAACAAGCTGATTCGCATCGACACTGACAGCTGGATAATCAATTGGCTACGCTCCTACCTTTCTGGAAGAGAACAGTACACTGTATTTGAAAGAAAGTGTTCAACATCTCTACTGTCTACTGTAGGTGTGCCACAAGGAGCTGTTCTTTCACCTCTGCTCTTCTCTTTCTTTTTGCATGATCTGCCATCTTCCACAGAAAACACTTTTGTAAAATATGCGGACGACCTCACTGTATGTATGCCAATTTCTACCTCCTTACATCCTATAGAAATGAATGAGTTTTTGTCTCGTATTGAAAGGTGGTCTGTTGGTAATGGTCTCTTGCTCAATCCATCTAAATGTCAAGCTGTTAATTTTAGCTTGAGACATGGACAGAACCTATACTCTATGTTGGGATCCCATAATGCTTGTGCCATTGGAGACTCCTTAATAAACACAGTGTCGAGGGTCAAATATCTTGGTGTTACTTTTTCCTCTGATCTTTCTTGGTCTTCTCATGTTTTACTATTATCGAAAAAAGTTTACCGCTTGACATACTACATAAAGAGGCTGCATGCTTTTGGGATTACTCGCCATTTACTCTTACAATTTGTAAATTCCTGCATATTACCTATTATTTTATATTGTTCTCCATTATTCTTTCCTGGGCTTTTGAGAAAAGACTTTGCTATTTTGCGTAGAATGCTGAAGGCGGTTTGCAAGGTATGTGGTGAATCTTTTGAAGTCATTGTTAATATGCTTGTGGATAGACATCTTAAGTGTTGCAAACTCTTGGCAGGTGTTATCTTATCAGATACTAACCATCCGCTTCATTCATATCTTTCTCCTTGTATATCTTCTGGTAGAACGAGACGTAAATACATTAAAATCCATGCACGCAAGCAAATCTATAAAAGTTCTGTAATACCTTACTTAGCAAATTTACTTTGTGACGAACAGGCTGTTAGAGTTGACCTAGTAAATAACCTGTCTTCTTAAGCATGTCTCAAATTCGATAATTTGTATAAAGTCGGTTTTTCCTAGACCTTTTTTTTTTTTTTTTTGTTTTTTTTTTGTTTTTTTTTGTTTTTTTTTGTTTTGTTTTGTTTGTTTTTTCGGGTTTCCTTTTTTGGTAAAAAACTTGTTGAAATAACTCGTGCTGAGAATTCTATATTGTACCAGATTATAATATTGAATAAAGCCATTAATAATAATAATAATAATAATAATAATAATATCAATCCATCGTCTCTGATTTCATTGTTCATGCGTTTTCATGTCAATTGCGTTCCATTTCCGTTCTTTCTTTATCGATCTTCTACTGAAATACATTGTATGCCTGATCATCATCATATACTACTTATGCGGATATAAGTAATCCACACCACAGTACTATAGATATTGATAATTTGTTGAAAGGTAAAGCATGATTTTAATATGTATTATCTACTGATCTCTCTCTATATATATCTATTAAATATTCAGTTAAACTTGTATAAATTAATATTTCATTGTGTTTCTATCTAATCTGATAAGTATAGAAAACATTTTTTGCTTGTTACTTAATATAGAAATGAGTAAACAGAAAACAAATTTCATTCAATCCTGTTTTGTTCATTTTGAAAAAGAAAAAAAAATTTTCAAAAAGGATGTGATAAGATCAAATACAATTTGTTGTTGTTAGAATAGAAATGTATCAAAATAGAGATAATAGTGATTATCTCAAAAATCCACTCATTGTTATTATTATTATTATTAGTAGTAGTAGCTTTATTTAGTATTATATCTTTGGTACAATATAGAATTCTCAGAACAATATATTTCAACAAGATCCCGTTTTTTTGCTTTTTGGTTGATCCTGATGATAAATATTGAATGATCACCAGTTAGAAGTTGGCAGTCCAGTCATTCGACATCTAAGTAATGCACATAATTCTCGCTGTACACATATCGCCAGCAATCACGATATCTCTGATTGAGCCTATTATAACTTATACAACGAAATGCTATACAATTTTGACAAACGCACTTGAATAGGTCGTGAGAATAATGAACATAATGATATATTAAAACAAACAAAATTAGATAGATTGTTGAAATATCTAGATAGAAGGAAGAAGTAGCTTAGATGTTCAAGCAGAAGAAAACAATTTTCACTGATGAATAATACAGAATCAAAGAGATAACACAAAGTAAAATAAATATTAAATGTTACTTTCAAGAAATAGTTTCCATTTTTTTATTGATTTTTTTTTGGTTTTATTAATAAATAACCGAAAGAGATTTTTAATTAGTTTCATGAAATGTTTATCTGAATTTTAAA